AATAACAACTTGGCTAAGACTAAAAGAGAAGTACATCGTCAAGTATTAGGGAAAGAACTAACAGGAAAAATTACGAAGCTACACAGTAGTTGAAAAGATAGCCCACATCACAGAGAAAAGAATGAAATAATCTGGACTCTATCTACATGGCTTGTGGCTCACAAGCAGCAGAACGTCGCTACCTAGAAGTAAGGGCTCCCAGTGTTACCCTCCCAGTGACTGGGTGTTAGCCGTGGGCAACAGCCACAGACAGGGAGGGGGTTAGAAAAATCCAGGTCGCTTTAACTCAGGCCAGGAAGAGCACAGGCCCCACCCACAAGGTGGGAAGCTTGGCCCAGAAAGTACTGGCCATCAGTGCTTGAATCCATCTTGCAGCCCACTTCCAGCACAGACCAGAGGTCCGACTGCCTTCCCCATCTACCAGTATGAGTGGGGACGCTGCCACAGCCTGGGATAAACAGAGAGAACTCTGGAATAGGGGATGCCCCTCACACACCCACAGGCTCTAAGGCTAGGCAAAGGAAACCAGAACTTGCTGGACTCCAAAAGTGTGGAGCCTGGAAGGAAATCATTCATTCAAAAACACAGAGAATGTTTTTGGAACCCATCCCACCCTTTTTTCCTTCTCTTTTTTTTTCTTCACTGGCTTACTGGGGTTTGAGGAATTTTTATTTATCCTTTTTGTTATTCCTGTTTTATTTTTTATTTCCCTTCTTTTATCTTCTATTTCTCAGGTTTTATTTTATCTTTATCAAATTCTAGAAATATCCTTCTATACTTAATGGTATCCTTTGTGTAACTTTTCTCTCTTCCTTCTCATCCTCCCATTGTTGTTTTCTGTTTCCTTTATTGGTTTTTTGAGACAGGGTATCCTTATGTAGTTCAGGCTGGTCTTCAACTCACTATGTAGTCCAGGCTGGCCTCAAACTTCAAGTGATCCTCCTGCCTCAGCCTCCAGAGTCCAGGGATTACAGGTGTGTACCACCAAACCAAGTTTGCACTCTTTAACTTTGCAAATTTTTCTTCTTGTATTCTCATATTCCCAACCCCATGTATCTTTAATAATATAACTATTGTGGTTGATACACTGTGTCAACTTGAGGCATCTAGAAACTTTAAGTAACTCAGCAGTTCTACATCCCTTACCACTCTAGGATGTTGTTCATTGTGTCAACCTGAGAAGTTTAAAAGTTCAACTAAGTGATTCAACAGGGAGCCAGGGTCCTTACTTTGTAAACATCCTCAGCTGTGAAAGAGGGCACGGAATTGGGTGTGGGCATGGACAGCCAGCCAGCATACAATATAAGGGAGGAAAAGGTGCTTGCCCCTGTCCCCATGCTCTTGTTGCATTTGCTGTCTTCTGCCTGCTTGAACCCTGTGTCACCCCACCTTGTCTTGGAGCCAGCTGATTATGGACTGACAACCTCCACAAACTGTGAGCTAAATAAACCGTTCCTTCCTTAACTTTGGGTGTTGGGTATTTTGTCTCAGCAATGAAAGAAAAGCAACCAAGACAATAACCAATAAGTTTTATTCACCTTTAGACAGTTGAAACTGTTACTACTGTTGAATTTTATCATTAGTAGAAGTATAGTTGTCACATTTAGTAGATATCTCCTGTACATCAATATTTGGTTTATAGATTTCTTTTCTAAGGTTAAAGGTGGTAAAGTTTCTTATGGTATGTCAACATGCAGTTTGTCTCAGATGATATTACTGTTGCTCATTTACTTGATATTATCTGGGTTGGCTGTTATTTGATAATGTTGCTTGTTGCTGCTAATATATTTTCTCTGCATGCCAACACCCAGATTACCTTTGTGACATTAACAGTACCATGATCCATTCCCAGACGGCTGGGTTTTGGGCCAATTAAACTGTATTCTCCACTCCCAAGTTAAGAGAGGGGATGGTGTCTTGGGACACAGGCAAAGGACTATACTTAGCCATGCCCTGAGTGCATCACTGAAAAGCACACTGAAGAGGTCCCCATAATAATAATAAAAATCTTTCCACTACATGATATCGCAGACCTAAACACGACATAGAACAAACAAAAACATTACAAACATGAGAAATCAAGACAAAAAAATGCCTTCCTAAACTCTCAACTCTTTTAAACTAGTCCACAGGGCATGAGGGAGAAGGAAGTAAAAGCCACACAGTCAAATTACTTGAAAGGATAAAAAAGATTAAAAAATAGACCAATACGGTGCTAGGCAGACTGACAGAAGACATAACCAAACAGATAATGGAAGTAATAAAACAACCTGGGGAGCTTACAGAAGACACTAATAAAAAGCTAGATGAAGCTCAGTATGCTGGTGTACACTTATAATCTCAGCACTCTGTAGGCTGAAGCAGAAGGATTGCCATGAGTTTGAGGCCAGCCTGGACTACAAAGTGAGATCTTGTCTCAGAAAATGAATGAATGAATGAAACCAAACAAAAATATTTAAGAGTTCATGAAAAGGTTCCAAATAGAAATCCAGAAGATAAAAAATTATACTCAAAGTATGGGCCACAGAAGCAACCAATGGAAGGACAGAATATCAGAAACAGAAGATAATAATGCTTTCAAAGACCAACATATCTCCGAATTTAACATATTCAGAGATATGTTAAAAATAAAACATGAAAAATGGAGTAGAAGACTTCATATTACAGTAATACATGCATACCTATATTCATAGCAGCACAATGCACAGTAGCTAAATCTTGGAAGTGGCATACATATCCTTTGACTAATGAATGGATACAGAAAATGTGGTATTCATATACAATGGAATATACTACTCTACCATAAAAAAAGGTTAAATTTGAGTCATTTGCAGGAAAATGGATATACCTTGATACTATAATGTTAAGTGAAATAAATTAGACACACAGGGTTTCACATATATGAAAAGCCCAAAACATAAACACAGTAGTACCTCAGCTTATGAATCTAAGTTACAGTTTTGGGGAAGATGGCTGCATTTGTGTTTGTGTGGAGAGATGGTCATTGTCATGTTTATAACTGGATGTGGAGTTTGCAAATGGAAGCAAAATTTTGCCAAAAGCTTTTCTTAGAGAACCAAATTGTAAACAGAAGTGTCTGTGAACCAAGATATTACTGTAAAGCATAGAATAAATGATAATATGAAATAGTGATATTGATATTTTGCACATTGGCAGGGGATCAAGAAATGGAGAGAAGAGGCAAGGAAAGGGAGGGGACAAAACAGTAAGAATTATGATATGTCATATACATGTACTGAAAGTACTATTCTACTCTTCTTGTAGAGTAATAGAAGTTTTGTCCAAGAACAAAGCCACTCAACAAAAAATACATTCTCCAACCTCCACTGCAGTTAAGTGTGGTCATACAGCTATGGTCAAGCCAAAAAGATGTGACCAGAAGAAAATATATATTAAAATTTTAAGTCATAATTTAAAAGAGAATTACTATGCATTCCATATCCTATTTCCTTTCTTTTCTTAGTGATGAACTATTAGCCTTACAAACAAGGGCAACACCCTACTTTTTCTTTTTTTGTCTTTTTGAGACAAGGTCTTGCTATGCAGTTCAGCCTGGCCTTGAATTCACTCCGTAGTCCGGGCTGGTCTGGAACTCGCAATGATCCTCCTGCCTCAACCTCCCAAGTGCTGGGATTACAGGCCTGCACCACCACATCTGGCAACAGTCCATTTTATATCCTAGCCAATACATATTATTTACTTAAAACAAAATGACAGCTTGTATTTCTATTTGATAATCTGTAGAGTGTTGATGCTTCTATTACTCCTTTAGAAACCTAAATATTTTGAGTAATTTTTAAATTGTAGGAAAATTTTAAAGACAATTCTTAGAAGTTTTGAAGAGGAAGGAGGCCAAGTAGTCACTAGAGCATAAATTTAAAAGTGAAGTATGTAAAAGAAAAGAGCTGAAGGATAAAACAAGTTGCATGGCTTGTATCTAGATATTCCCCTAAAGCCTTAAGCACTCACAGGTGGGGCTTTTCAGAGGTGGCTGGATCCAGGGTATGGGAATGTGGATTAAGGGTGTGGTATTCAGATGAGTTCATAATTGATTCTGGGTGTGGGCAATGGAAGCCCCACCCTGGTTTTGCAGCATGGATGGAACACAGTAAGTCCCTGACTTAGGAACATTTGAGTTGTGAACTTTCACAGATATAAACAGACCTTACATTATAAACATTCACTGATATGAACAAATCGTGAAGGTAGCTAACCCTAACCCTAACCCTATATCACCATTTTAAGGTAACTGTGAAAGTAAAAATAGTTTATTTACAGTATTTGTGTGTCTGGTATTTTTATGCTTTACGCTGTATATTTCTGTCAAAGGTATATAAGACTCACTCTGTCGGACTTAAGAACAGATCCAATTTAAATGTTACCCCCAAACAAAACTTGCTCGTAAGTCGGGGACTTACTGTATAAAGGAAAAGACGAAGGTAGCCTAGCTGCCTTTTTCTGCCTGCCCTACCAAGGTCTGTTTCTCCTCTGTGTTGCCCATCTCCATGCCACCCTGACTGTAACTGAAACCTCTATGAACTATGACTTAAAATAAACCTTTCCTCCTTTAACTTGTTTAATATTTTGTCCCAGTAGTAAGAAAAACACATGGAGACTATCAAAAACACCTTACCTACGTAAAAACATCCAAATAAGAAAAAATAAAACTGAAATAACACTAACTGGTAAAAAGTCACAAAGAAAAAAGAACAGTTTGAAATTGATATGGTTAAGAAAGTTCAAGTAAGATCTTAGTTGAAAAGTGTCAAAAGTGAAACCAACCAAAACAAGTAACAATGAAGAGCATCTGGAAAAACAGAAGTTTCAAAACTAGTACAACAGTATTTTAAACGGGACTCTCTAAACTGCAAGAAAGGTACACAGCAAGGTTAGAAAGAACGCAGGTCATTTTCATTTCCTAATGTGGTATATAATAAATTCAAAATGCTTTACAACTAAGCAGATGATAGTAAACTCACAGTAGCAACTTTGCCTTTTCTCTTGACTGGAAGAAATGGGCATGCTCTGACTTGGAGATCTTTAATGGCAGCAGTCACTGTACTGTTTTCAAGGTCACCTTTACAGAAAATTTCACACTGTGTTGTTAATACTAAGGCAGGAGCATCGTTACTTGTCATGTCAGCCACAAACACAATTTCTGGATTTTTAATAAGAATGTTGATTTCCCATTTCTCTGGTTCCTGTATAGGTACTAAAATAGAAATAAAAGTGTTTCAATATATAAATATTTCTATATAAAATACTTCTGAATAAGTCACTATTTATAAGAAAGTGTTATTTCATTCTAAGTAAAAAGGTAAAATTAAAGAATCTTGGATCTCAAAGGAATCTTGTTGGAGAACCCTACAAAGTGGCTCTGAGCAGGATTTAATATTAACCAAATGGCTTTCTGTGTTTACTTGTGAGTTGTCTCACGCTTAGGCACCTTGTCTGAAGATAGGCAGTGGACTCATAGTAAGTAAACCTCTGTGAGTCACCGGTCACCACTGAGGCCTGTATTGGCCTGTGAAGCTGTGACACCTCAAAAGACAAGATAAGGCCACAGCTGAGGACATCTGGTTCCAACCCCAATTAACTTAAAGCAGACTGTGGCTGCATGCATCTCACTCCTGTGGGTGTGAAGGGGTGAAGGCCTTCCCAGAGATAACCTAGTTCTCCTAAATTAACATAATCTGTTACTTGAAAAAATCCTGCCCAGATTCCCCCATTTTCTTGAGTATCCCCCTCCTTTGTTTGTAAACCAAATAAATATGGGCTGCCCAGAGAAGTCTTGGTCTAAACTCAGAGAATATCGAAACTGTAAGAGAGTTAGTCCCTCCTGGAGCCCTGAAATCATTTCAGTTGTCTCATTTATTTAAGTCTTCGCCATTCACTCAGTTGGGAGATTGTGGGTCTGATCAGCCTGCAATAACTAAGGGTTATTCAACCCAATAGAATCTACTACAACTCTCTGCTCTATTTCTTTTCTTTTTTGTGGTCCCAGAGACAGAACATAAAACCCACAGCATGCTAAATATACACCCTACTGTTAAGTTGCAACTCTTTAAATAATGAAATTATACCAATAAGAACACTTTAAGAGATGGCGGAAGGAGTGAGGACAACTGCACTATTTAATAGTAGGGCTGGAACCTCATCTAGTAGTTCCCAACTCTCAAGCTAAATTTGTTTTACTATAACACAATGAATAACACATGTAAAAAGATACTCAAAAAACTGTATGTCAGGTTAAAAGCTACAAGTAAATATAAAAAAATTAATGAATTGGGGCTGGGGATTTAGCTCAGCGGCAAAAGCACCTGCCTGGCAAGCGCAAGGTCGTGAGTTCAGTTCCCGGTACCAGAGAAAAACAAAAAAACAAAAAAACAACAAAAAAAAAAATTAATGAATGTTTAGATTAAAATACTATATTTATAAAAAGGAGTGATTGCTTCATTATTCCCCTTGCTTACTTTCTTGTATCAGCACATTTGTTAAAACTATTTACTACCTGCAGAGCAATACAATTAGTTATTCCAATGAAGGTCTCATAATTTTGACCCCAAAATACATTTGTACCTTCAAAAAACTGCAAACTACATAACCTCCCAGAAAATACATTAAGGTTTTTCTCCTACAGTGAAAAAACTAAGATTTTAATTTATTATTGTATGTATTTTGATCTTATCTAAGACGCTAATCCAAGTAAAACTTGATATAGCATTGCAATAATGCAGATATTAAATATTTTAGCTGATAACTAACCTTCTTCCTTTGTAGCCCATGTTTGAACAGTGGTTTCTAAAGTAGTGCCTGTGGTATATGCCTCAAAAAAGACATTTGCAACGGTCAAAAGAAATTCCACACTTGCACAAATATACATTTCTTGAAAGACAGCATCAGTCACAGAACAATCTCTGATTGTCCTATACTTTACATCCATCATGTCCTTTTTGTCAAACCCAACAGTCAGTCCTATCATTCTGAAAAACACAATTAATAATTCCTATGTATGAGTAACATACAAACAACCAAATATAGCAATAAAACTTAAAGAGATTTTTAAAAATTCTTTTCACTGACAACAAATAAAAATTCTTCAAGGCATTTCTTGGGAAGTCCTGCAAATAATAGACTTACAAACTTCAGGAGCGTAGCTGTTTTGTAAATTAGAAAATGTATACTTAGGAAATTATTAGAGTTTTGAATGTCAGCATTTTTTCCTCTCAATTTTTACATATTTCTCATTTAACTGCACTAATTCTTCTTATTCAACCAATTCATCCAGAAGCCAGTAAGGCACATATATGTACTAAACCAGGATATTTCAAATTTTATTTAAAATGAGTCTCATGCCTTGACTGAACTGAAGCTCTGAAGATCCCAAGATGTATTTAGAAACTGAAATGCAACTTTAGGAATAAGTTATATAAAATATATCAACTATTTCTTAAGTAGAAATTTAGAAGAACTAAGTATGGTGGTACATGACTATGATCTCAGCACTCTGGGAGGCTAAGGCAGGAGGATACCAAGTTGGAGTACAGCCTGGGAAACTTAGTGAGACCGTGGCTCAAAAAAAATAAACAGGGCTGGGGATATAGCTCAGAATGAAGTCCCTATCTTCAATTCCCAGTACCACCAAACTAACAAAAAAAAACTCACCACAGAATACATACCTAGGGGTCGCTTTCTTGACATGAGGTCTTTTGTCATCTAAAATACAATTTTTTAATGAGAAAGAAGAAACTGTAGAGTCATCTGTATACATTTTTAAAGTACTTATAATATTTTCCAATTTAAATTCAGCAAGCTGCAGAGAAGGATCACGAACATCTGAAAAGGATGCCTATGGAAGAGAAAATCCATACAAAAATTACACAAAATATTGAAATTTACTGTATATTTTATGATACAACCTACTACAAATTATTTAATCTGTTTATAGGAAACATCAACATTCTCTTTTTTTTTTTTTTGGGTGCTGGGGATTGAACCCAGGACTTTGCACAGGCTAAGCCCACACTCCACTGCTGAGCTATACTTCATGGCACAAATTTTCTACTTTCAAAGGGCTAAGGAAAAAAAATTAATTTTAAAATTTGTTTTTAACATTACTAACTATATGAAACAACATTTAAGAATTGAGATGCTTACTATTAAAGTGAAAAGATCATCTTTCTCAGAGAAACAGAGATTATAAAACACACATGGAATTAACAACTGTTATTTAATAAACATTCACGTATCATTTTTCTCAAGTAAAAACATTTTCTTTTCATTTTCAACTTACTGGTTCAGGAGATGGACTGTACAGTACCATGGTGAGATAATCAGTTCTGAAACTTATATTCAGTGTTGTCTTAATTTGAGAGGCACGTGAATATACTTCTACCACAGCAGCTGTCACCACAGTTGCTCCTTGAAAAATTGAAGTCATTGAATAAAAAGAAAAACTTATGAAAAGTAGCTCACTACAATAGTCTTGAAATAAGACAAGAGAATTATTAATTAAACTGGTATAGGAAAATAACAGTCAACAGATTAAGAGATATAAAAATTCAGATGTGGAACTCCTGGCTTAGAATTCTTTCTATAGCTTGGGAATGTCTTTCCACTAGACTTCCATTTCTACTTTTGTAAAATAGGAATAACACAAGTCACCATGGTGCTCATTTTGGAGACAAAGTAAAATAGCATGTGTAAATGTACATTTTAGTATTCAAATTTTACTTAAAAAATATTAAGACAAAGATATTTTAGGAGCCTTTAAAAAGTGTTCCATTCATCAAGACTCAAAATTCTGTTTTCCTTGTATTTAAATTCTCAAAGTTTTATATGCACATAATATGTATGAAATGGCGTATCAAAACACAACAGTTCCTCTTTCTCATTCTAACCAGCTCCAGACACAAGTACCACCCTACCAGTTTTGAGATAAAATCTACAATGCAATATACAGATCTTATATGAACAATTTAAAGAAATGTGCTAAGTGTAAATGTACATCTATGTATCCAACACTCCATTTATACTACTTCAGATTCCTATCAGAAGTCTTTGAAAATTTCAGCTATTCTACTTTCTCATTAGTATATGTCAATCTTTTAAAATTTAACTAATTCAGTAAACTGTTAAGTTTTCCTGATCGGTTAGCAACTTTTGATGTTCTTACTGTACATTTACACACCATCCTCTCTCCAATTTTCAAAATCTTTTGGTCATTTTTTTTTAAGTTGGTATCAAATTTATAGCTAATATATTCTGGACTTAAGAACACTGTCAGGTATATGTATCACAATTATGTCTCTAAGTCTGAGGGAAGCCTTAACTTCATTGTCTTGATACTATCTTAGATGAAGAGAAATTTAAATAAAGTCTACTTTATAAAGTTTTTCTTTCATAATTAGTGCTTTGATATTCTATCTAAAAAATATTTGGCTATCCTACTGTCAATGAACATAATCTTTAATGTTTTCTTCCCAAAGTTCAGACAGTTTAGTGTTTAAATTTATCTCTCTCAACCATTTCAATGTGTGTATGCTGTGAAGCCAAAAGGTTCAACTTTTTCTATATTTACCTAGTTGTGATGGTATTTGTTAAAGTCTATCTTCTCCTTAATAGATTTTGTTAAAATCAAATGACTGTACTTATGTATCTACTAGATACTCTATTCTCTTCCATTCTATGTCTCGAATTTGCCAGTACAATATCGATTTTATAGCAAGTTTTATCATTAGATAAGGTAAATTCTTAGTATTTTCACAATGTTATTTTTTGGCTATTCTTAGTCATTATTTCCACATAAATATTAAAAGCCATTTTTATATTTCTATTAAAGTTTGACTGGAATTATGCTGAATCTGTACAATCAATATGATGAGGACTGTTATCTAATATTGATATTTTTTAAAAATTTACAACATAACATAGCTCCTTGCATATTAAAGTCATTTAATTCCTCATTAGTACATGGTATTTGTCAGTGTAGAAGTCTTGCAACATTTTTGTTAAACTTCCTCCCAAATATGATTCTGATGCATTCTACAGATCTATTAAAAGTTTTTACTTTCCAATTGTTAGTGATAAAAAGTTTTACATTTTAACTTTATCTTGTTAAAAATGTTACATTCATTTATTAATTCTAGAATTTATTGGAGACTTCTTAGGCTTTCCTGCATAGCTGATCAAGCTGGCTGAGAAAAAAGGCAATGGTAGGCCTTTCTACTCTCCAGACCTATTAATCCTCTTCTTGGCCTTATTGTTCTGTCAGTGTCTGCTAGCCAAACATTGGTAAGAATAGTAAGCACTGACATTCTTGCCTTTATCCTTTTTTAGGGTGGAACATTTCACCATTCATTATGCCTCTTTGATATTTCTAGTTTATATCATGACTAGAGGAATTTTTCAGAAGCTTTTTTTCTTAAGAGTTGAGGTGATTACATGCTTTGCCCTCTTTAATTTGGCAAACTGACTTATCAAATGTTAAACCAACTTTCCCTTTCAGGATAATTCTCACTCAAGGTGAACCTTCCTTATATCCTTACACTTGATCTTAGCCAAAAGGCCAAGAAGTGATCCTTATATCCTTACAAGATTCACTTTTGGGGGGGGGGGGTACTGGGAATCGAATTCACAACCTCGTGCTTGCCAGTCAGGCACTGTGCCACTGAGCTATATTCCTGGCTCCTATAACTAGACTCAGTATACTAATACGTTAAGAAATTTTATGTCTGTGCTCGTGGGAGACACTGGTATCTAGTTACTTTTGTAGCTGCTAAGACAAAATACTGGCCACCTAAAGTTAAAGGAAGAAAGGTTTATTGTAGCTCAGTTTATAGAGGTTTCAGTCCATAGTCGGCTAGCTCCAAGGCAGGACAGCATAGTAGAGGGGCCCTGCAGGAAAAACAGTTCTATTAAATTTGCTGCACAAGGCAGCAAAGCAGTGAAGCAACAAAGCAGTAGCAATAGCAGGTGACTTTTCCTTTTAGCACTTCCAGGCTACCTGTCTTTTGGGTGGTGCCACCCAAACCAAGAGTGGACCTTCCCATTATCCACACCCAGAACCATGCCAAACCAGTAAGTGGACTAATGAAGTAATCACACACCCTTAATCCCAGCATCACACACTCTAGATTCAGCCACCTCAGAAATGCCCCAGCTATGTCCACATGAAGCTTTGAGGGACAGCTAGACAAGAGCCATAACAATTGGTATCTGACAACCTTTCCCTGACACGTCCTTTCCTGATTTCCATGTTCAAGTAATGCATGCTTTATATGGGTAGGAAGGCATTCCCCTCCTCTCTTTTCCAAAAGAATTTGTGTAATAGTGGTATTCTTGCTTAAATATTTAATATAAAGTTCAGCAACCACATCCAGCACAAAAGCAAACCAGTAACATGGGAACATTTGTGTGTGCGCGCATGGGTGTGTACATGGCTCTGAGAGGTCTGTGCCAATGTAGGACCCAAGTTCATTCATCAAGGGAATGTGGTCCACTATTTCAGGGCACCTAAGGGCTGCTGCTATGGCACTGCTCCTAGTCAACACAGACTAAGTAGTGCCAAAAATAAATAAATAAAACAAACTAACTAACTTCGGAAGAACTGTTTAACGACTTGAAGATTAGAGAGTAAGGTTTTGACTGGAGTATTTCCTATTAACGATTTGTTATGTAAAGTCAATGTGGCTAGCCAAATTTTCTATTTCTTCTTATGTCAGTTTAACAATTCCTGCTTTCCAGTGAAGGTGTACATTTCATCCATGTTGTAGAATTCACTGTCATGAAATCAGTTCGGTGATTAAGTGTAACTGTGTCACTGTAACTGGCTTGGGAGCTGCCTTAGGGCTTAGTAAAGTACACTTCTGGGTTTCTCTGGATCACTTCTCAGCCTTTTGCTAAGATCAAGTGTAGTATATGGGTGGGTAAGGAAGCTTGACCATGGAGACATAAATGGTGCTCTTTATTCTCTGAGACTCTTCCCCTGCTCTGCTCGTATGTTGATTATAAACTATTTTTCAATGAAGATATTTATAGTTTATCATAATACTGCCTCTGTCGCTGTAATTTCACTAGTCAATAGTGAAAATATTACCTTTCTCACTTTTTAACAATGGCACAAAAATCACTCAAAATGTAGTCTACTTCAATTCTGCATTATGGTTTAGAGAGTTCTTTTAGAAAACATGTTTTCCTCTCTATGTATCATTTATGTAATGTAGTTAATTCATCATCACGCATTTTATGTGGAATTATGCTATGATCATTCCAGTAGCTTCCCCCTTCAAAGTATCCTGTGATCATTTTAAATGAAAATCAACTGCTTTCTACTCTAGTCACATGGATCATTTTGGATGCATCCTTTGATAAGATCATTGGTGTTTAATCCTGTGTTGTTCTTTTTCCTGGATTCTAAGATTATCTTACTAGAATATATTTTTAAGCTTTCTTAGGAATGAGTACAGGAGAGTTTGAGTAAATTTTGAATCACTAATAATCTGAGAATTGTTTTGTTTTCACATTTTTGATGATGGTTTAAGCCATGTATAGAAACCTACATTCAAAGTCACGCTTCCTAAAATTTTCAAATATTCCTCCGCTCTCTTTTTAGAGGTCAATTTCATCCAGTTTTGTTGGTAAAGTAGCAACAACACACAAAAAAAACTCATTCACTCACTTTTTCCCCCATACCCTAACAGGAAGCCTGTTTCTTTTTTGCTGAAACACTAAAAATCTTAAACCTTTCAATCCTGAAGTTCTATGAAAATGTGTTTGAACACGGAGGGAATCTTGGTTTACTCAATCTGCTTGGAACTCAGTAGTTTCTTTACATCTAAACGACAGATTCAACATTTAGGTCTGGACAGTTTAACTTTGTTACTTTTTAAAATACCTTTTTCACTTCATTTTCTCAATTACTTCCTCCTATAATACAATTTTTGCAGATTAAAGCTTTCTGAACTGAAGTATCACTCATTTACCTCACTGTCTGTTCCTTTTCTTACCCTCTCTGCAATGGATTTTAACTCAACCGTATGCTCCAAGTAAATACTTACATTCAAACCCTATAGCAATTGTCTTTGTTTCAAAACTTAGCAATCTTACATTCAGTTTCCAAGAACTCTTTCCTTGTGGGGCTGCTAGTGCTCCCAGGATCTGTTTCTTATATTACCTAATCCTCTAAAACAGCAGGTTTTATTGGTCTCTTTTTCTTTTCTTTTCTGTTTGCTCAGTTATTTCTACTTCATTCAGAAAACACTATTGTGTTTCTTTGGTTCATACTGTGTGCTTATGACTTCCTTCATATGGGACCATTTATGTTCAACAATAAAAATTAGGTGGATCATCTTGTCTAGCAAAGATGGGATTTTTTTGTAGTGCTGTGAATGAAGAGTTGTTTTTATGTTGGAATTCTCTGAATGTTCAACTTGTGTCATACCTCAGGCTTTTGCAAAGGTGGACATTATGGATCAGTAGGCTTTACTTTCAGGTAGGCAGAGCTGAGGAGTCTTCTCAAATACCAGATTGAGGGTAACTCTACTCTTATGCCTCCAAATCCTAGTATCTCTAACTAACCCAGTTTTCCATGTGCTGGTGATGAACTTAGAACCCAGTCAACATTCTACACAGCATCTTTGATCCAACACTGGAAAAAGCCTCTGTTATGACTCCTTTTACTTTGTTTCTTACCCTTCTATATCCACAACATTTGTTAAAACCTCTTATCTACAGTGATCATCCTCTCTTCAGACTTCTAATATTCTGACAGTCTTAATTTTAATATAGAATATTCACTTTGGGATATAGCTTATAGTAGGGTAAGGAATGAGGAGGAAGAAAAAAACTGAAAATAAGAAACTAGAGGAAACTGGAGAAAAAACAAAACAGTAAGTATGTTTTGGTTTTTTTTGTTTTTTTCCCAGTACCAGGAATCGAACTCACGACCTTGCACTTGCCAGGCAGGCGCTGTGCCACTGAGCTAAATCCCCAGCCCCACAATAAGTATGCTTGTTACAACAGGACTAAGAACTCCGAGTCAAAGAAAATAAATCAGAATGACTAATAACATAGGTAATTTAGAAATGCCTAAGTGAGATTAGCTGATTAGAAAAAGATTCATAAACCCTATTTTAGCAAAACTAGAGAAAGAAAGGAATAAAGAAAAGATGGAGAAGGAAGACAGAGAAGACAGAAGAGACAAAAAAGAAGGAAGGTGAGAAGAGAGGAAGGGAGCAAAAGAAATGAGGAGAAAGAAGAGAAAAAAGAGAGGAAAGTGGAACAAAGCTAGAATTATGAACATACCTCCTGAATGCTGTGACTCATTAGTGACTCCACTGGTACTACTACTCTGGTCTTTAGTTACAGCAGATGAGGTACAGACACCTTCATACCATATATTTCCATACAATGTTTTAAAAATAGTTGTTATATCTTCTTGACTAAGAATGAACTGTTAAAAAACACAGCATTTCAGAAAAAAATACACAGTGGGTTTGGTTCTTTTTAGCACTTCTATCTACTGTACTTAAAATTTTCATTCAAAAAAGTCACTATTTATACCTCAGTCCTTGAAAAAACCTATTTTTTAAATCACTGAAGAAATATGGTTTTCTAAGTGATCATATGATCATTAGAAACTTATGAAATACAGAGCTAAATTAGATACCTAAATTGATGAAACCATGAACAATGAACTATCTGCTATAAATATACCAAATCAGTAATTGTAACATTTGAAATGAACTTTAAACTGCAGTCATCAAGCTATCGCAGACTTTTCCGGTTAGTACACACATTTTACAAATAATAATCAAAACAATATATAACATTTGGATAATGAAAAATGCTTCATATATATTTTATATGATTATTTTTATTTTAGCCTCACAATAGCCCTAGGTATACACACTATTATCTTGATTTTTAACAAAGCTAAAGCTAAACTGTAAAATGAGATTTCATTTCATACATACTTAGTAGAACTCAGAGAGCTAACTTCAAACCCTGTGTGTCTTGAATTCAGCCTAAAACCAACATCACAGGACCTATCTTGAAAGGTATAGTGGTTTAACTGTATGTGTCAGCTTGGCTTTGTTGCAATAGCTATTTTGTCAAACATTATTCTAGTGTTTCTGTAAAGGTATATTTTTAGGTGAGAGTAACATTTAAATGAGTAGATTTTAAGTGAATCAGATTACCACAATGTGGGTGAGCCTCAATCAATGAGTTGAAGGCATTCACTAAAAAAGAGCGATCTATTTGAAGAAGAATTCTGCTGGCAGACTACCTTCAGATTACTGCAACATCAACCCTTTCCTTTATAAATATCCTACTGGTCCACCCTGCCACTTTTGAACTTGCTAGCTTCCATAACCATATGCAAGGATTCCTTATTCCTACCACCTCACACATACTCTCCATACAGTTTCCGTTTCTCTGACGAACTGTGATGTAATACAATGGCAACAGTGTAAAACAGAATCTACTGATACATAATCAGGACACTTTTCTTAAGTTATTTCTGGTTCACTATTAAGTTTGTTAAAACTGTTTTTGCTTTTTTTTTTTTAAACTGTTCTTTCTATTATAACCTAAGGGATAATTTTATTCTCAAAAAAATATAACAATAATATTGGTACAGGATCCCTTCAACTGACCTTCAAAGGATGATATGTTAATCTAGTTAAGATTAAGAGAATGTGTATCTGATTCATACTGCTTGTTTTTTCAACTTTCATTCATCCTTTTATTCATGACATTTACTTTGTGCCTATTATGTAGCAATCATTGTGAAAATAAAATATTCATACAAACTCCATTAAAACTTCTAAACAAATTCTATTAGTACGTACATACTTTAGTCTCTCAAATACTGATATTAAATCATCACTCTTCACTCTTGTCAGTAGGTAAGGGGGAGAAGTTGGAAGGACGGTAAGGATCCTAGGAATGCTACCTGCAGCTTCTACATGTCAGGACAAGCTGGATGCACAACCCTGAAACACCTTACAGGTCAAAATCACCAGCTGCAGCAGCATGTGGTTTTGATTCATTACACTGACTGAATTTCAGCTTCTCCTTGACGCAGAGGATGAGGTCCAAGAGGAACTAAGTACAGTATGTGGCTCTGCACTGGGCTGCAAGAGCCATTAATTATAGACACTCCTCATTTAACAACCAAACTTCCATTCCTATGGCCAAATCATGCACTGAATTGGTTGCTAAATGAGGAATTGTATTATAGTATGTAGATTATAACATTAAAACAAAGAAATGGTCAAAATAAACTCTAACTTGATGACTTTGCTTTTATTTGCATAACACACACAGTAATGTATAACATAAAACTACAGTACTGCACTGCATAGTACAATGTGCAAAAATTATAGTACTGTATAAACAAGGTATAGTGTACAAAAAAAGACATTGAGGATTTATAAAAAATGTACAGAACAACAAAAAAAGATGGGTCATAAGTCCAAGTGGCAGGTCTTAAACCAAACAGCATGCCTCAGTTCTAAGTTTGTTAGACAGTTGTTAAACAGATATGTCCTTAAATGAGGATATTTGTGTTGGGGTCAGTTAGGGGTGGGGAAGACTCAACTTCTTCCTAGTGAAACCTCCCTCAAAAAGCAGTGAGCATTTGCAGGTGGTCTGCAGTATCACTTAAATATTATGCAGAGATTCTCCCATGGGAAAAGTATGGGAAAGCAGTATTTTTTTTGCCACACCAAAGTCTGCCTAATGTGTGCCAAGAGGGGTAGAGATTTCCACAACTAGCTGGGTGGAATGTGTTACTTATGTTTCGTAAGTTTCTATCTGCTGTTTTCACCAACATTCAGAGAGTTTATTTAAAAAGACACTTTTCATCTTTGACCCTATAAATTACAGAAAGCATCCACATTATCTTACACACTAGCAGCTTAAAGTCTTTCGATTGACAGTTTAGTCTGTGAATATAAGTTTGATTTAAAAGTCACAAATCTCTAAAATGAGGGTTTCCATTGTTAGAACAAAGTTTTAAATAGAGACAAGTAAGGAAACTGGGTGAAAGGAAGAAAGATGATTTAAGTAGGTTCCTTAAGGAAGCATTCCAGGATATATGTTGCTGTACTTCATTAAAGTATATGGTACAGTTTGAATTTCCATTCAGTCAATAAGGAAAAATATGAACTTGAGATTGTTCCATTAGAGATCTGTGGAGAAAGGTCAACCAGTAGACAGGTAAAACTATGTGCTAAGTGATGACCATCTGCCATTTTGATCTTCCACCTCTCTACTCCGCTAGGACTTTCTCTTCTTTAAATACTCTTTCTAGGTTACTTAATATATTCCTCTGGCTTTAAATATCACATACTGATGACTCCCAAATCAGTATTTCCACCCTAGATGGCTCCACTAAATTCTCTATTAATATGCTGACTAGTATTTGTTTCCTCCATGAATTGCCTCTATTTAAAACATTTGTTTTTACTATCTGACTACTGCACATTCCACACCACCATCATCTGGCTTGGAGTGGTAAATTCTATGATGTCAGCTTCTTTGTTACAGTATCTCCAATATGTAGCAAAGGACAGGAGGCAGTCAAATCACTCAAATATTTGTTGAAAGAATGAATGGAGAACATTAAATGAATTGAAAACTTGCATGTCTACATAACTTAACATGTCTGTTCATAAGACACTATTTCAATTCTGACCAAGTTGGTAATACCTGGAACCTGCACACAAAATTTTTAATGTTCCAAAAAAGAAGTGTTTTTCAACAAACAAAACAGAAACCAGTAAGTAGCTACGAAGTTACCTCCATGGGTTTTAACTGAGCATTTACATTAAAACAAGGAACTTCTTGGTACCAATCCCAGGATAAATTTCGCTCAACAACCACTTCAAGATTTAATGGCAGTAGTAGATCCAGTACTTCTTGGTATCCACCATTAATAAATAGAGACCTATAAGTAGAAATAAAATTGGGGTTGTTTTGTATACATTCAGGTGAAAAAAAGGAAGACTAATTTATCATTTTATGTAACAGTAGAAATCAGTGATTTTGTGTGTGTGAACAGAAACATCAACATTATCTGGTTTTTACATATCAAAATGAGATGTTCCATCCCACTAGAAACCAAGTTGATGTTCTCTAAGCTGAAATGTTTATTTTTTAAAAATAGGATATGATGAATAATATGACGAAAAATGCAAAAAAAATACACTAGCTGATTAGAAGATCCTTAAAATAACAATTATCTTTAGTCACTAAAGAACCATGTAACACCTTACTACAAAAACATTTTAATTTGCTGATTTAGAGATGTAGAACATGTATTTCCTTCACAGAAAACAAAATTTCTATTTCTGTGGATCCAAATAATAACTGGTTACGTACAATTTCACATTAAGTGGACCATATTTGCCTTTCCAAGCACTTATAGAAACAAGACTGACACTCAGGAATGAAAACAAGAGTAGTAGGTCAAAAAAAAAAAAAAAAAAGTAAGGTCACAGAACCCCTTCAAGGACTGTAGAAGCATGAAAGCCTTCGATTGTACTTTCAAATGACAATCTCCAAAGGTTACTCCTTAATATTGTACTTATATTTCTACTGTCAACAAATTTCTATGGTATGAAGACATGACTGTATGATTTTGCTATTATTTATACAATGGAAGAGAAATACAGAAGTCATCAGAAATCTTTCAGAACACTCAGTATCAAACCACTTCATGGATAGACTATGAAGTGACATAATTAAACATACATGCATGCCTGCAATCTCTACCTAATGCCGTTAAGGAATCTAAAAACCCTACAGGTTAGGCAAATTCAGCCTGTAGTTGATGGACTGCAAGCAGCCCTCCATAGCTAGTAATGCAGCCTCACAGGATTATAAATTTTTAACATTATATGATTGTTTGCACAACTCCAAAAACAGTGCTTGGGTGTGCACTGCAGAGGACAACAGAACACTCTATATATAGGTGAGTGTGCAGTACAGTGCGCAGTCAGCACAATGAAAACGTGTAGCACGTGTTGCTTGTACAAGATGACAAAACTCAGCAATTAACTATAAAAGTATTTCAAACCTCTTATATGTGTGCTTATAAACACAGGTGATTACTGTTAAGCAAACATGTAAGTTTTTGTATTTAATTATTAAACTCACACTTGTTATTTTTTGTAAAATAGTAAGTTCATATAGTCTTTTGCAGCTGTGGTATAGGAAATACTAAAATGTATCAAATGGTATTTTGTTCGTGATAGTGTTATAATTACATATACAAAAAATTAATACTAGAAAAATACATGGTTAGTACTTACTAAATTTCTGGAATACACAGAGCTGCAATGAGATATTCAACTCAGAGAAAACTCTGATCATACCTATTGACTAGACTTTTATAAGATCTACCTTTCCAGAGAAAAATATCCCTTAGTCCACAGTCATGCCTTATTCATGTCATTGTCTTCTGCACTCTGTGACCAATCATTTTCAAAATGAACCACACAGAGTCCATTTCCAATGAATCAGAAGACACTGATGCACTAGTTTCACAAAAACTAAAGTCCAATAATGCACTAATTTTACATTTATTTTGCCCCCTTTTGTGTATGTAATGTTACAATAAAAAACGTAACAAAGAAAGCTTTATTACTTATATGCATTAACTGCAGTACATATTTTATGCATGGACTACATCAAGTCCTCTTCACTCAACACAGACCAGATAAGCCAAAGTGTTGGCCACTCATCCTACAGAGGAATACTGACTGTATGTGCAACTTTAATGGCTATGCATTACATAAAGGCTACACAATAGTCATTATTAAAAATTTGCTTCCAATGCTTTATTATAAATACTTGGATAATTATCTTGATAAATATCTGAGTGAATATAGATTCTCTAGATAAAATACAATAAGCATAAATGCTCCATAAAAAGATAACTTCATCTAGCCAGGCATGGAGGCACACGCCTGTAATCCCAGCACTCAGGAAACTGAGGCAGAAGGATTGTTACAGGTTCGAGGCCAACCTGAGTTCAAAGCCAGCCTAAACTATACCACAAGACCTTGTTTTACCACTTTGAAGGTATACTTTGTTGTATAAGTAATACAACAACCGTTGTTAATTTCCTACAACTTTGTCTGTAACTGTTTTGTTTGTATTATTCTTATGCTATTTTGCAAATGGATGTCTGTTGGTTCATATGTTCTCTTTCTTTTATTTTTAAAATTAGAAAAAAGACCTTGTTTCAAAAAAAAAAAATCACTTCACCTGAGAAAAAATGAAAAAACTACTTATATAGTTAAACACTATTTAATACCTGAGGTCAGGCACTTTCTCTTCTCTTCACCCACAAGTACCTTTAAGTTTTCTATCACTGTATTTAACGTAATGCATTTTAATAGAATATATTATTTACAGTTTCAATTAAATGAAAGCTTCACAAAGGAAGGGATTATACTTATATTATTTGTGCTCTGCTGCCAGTACTTACTTTAGATGACTAGCATGTCATCTCATTAATAAGTATTTGCTAAACTGAATTGAAGAAATTGGATTAGTGTATAAACAATAATATAGGGACACACAAATAGGAATAGTTATTTGTTGTTATGTGCTAAGAAAAAGTTAAGCTATTATACCTTTAAGAATAGTAACATCCAAGTTTACCACCTTTAACTCATGCTGTAACTATTAGTCAGTGGTTATTTTTAAGAGTGAGATTATTTTATCTCCAATACATAAAAGTCTCACTATATTCTTTTACAATATCACTACCCTCCTGTCTTTATTTCTTTCTTCATTATCCATCAATGTGATTTTCAATAATTGAAATCTTTTTCCCTTCCTTGGTCACACCTGTTTGTCAAAAATTTAGTCTTGCTTGACTCCAACTAGCTGTTGAATTTTCAATACAAAATATGAAGCACAGCATCAAGAAAAATCAACTACTATTAATTCATGGTTAACAACCACAGGACTCTCAACACTACCTCAATACATTCTGGTTTCTGCTTGCTCCTTCTGACTCTCTTTTAAAGGTTCCTCTTCCTCAAATACTGCGTTCTTCAGCATTCTTTTCCACACACCCACTCTACAATGTCCCTGTGTGATCGTTCTCATTCCAATGTTTTCAAAAACTAAGTATTACAAATCTCTCAAATCTAGAAATCTAAGCAAAGTCACTTTCTTAATATTCAGAATATACGTCAAAATGCATTCTACATTTCTCCAGATGAAAGTCATACAACTACAAGTTATGTGGCCCCTGAGAGAAATCACTAATATTGCCACATCATTTTTTTTCTAAACTGCTGTCTCAAGTGTGTGAACTACGTTATAATGAATTACTGGGTTTTCTAAGCTTGCAGCCTTGGATGAATTTTAATTTCTCCTCTTTTTTAATTTCCATGTCCACTCAATAACCTGTTGCTATTGATTCTACTTTTACAATTTCTTATAATTTTTAAACTATTATTACCTTATTTCCCTACCTCAGACTAAATCATCTATAATTTTTGAATAAATTACAATAGTTACCAAACTGTTCTCCTAACCCAAAGTTTCCTTTTGACCTATTTTCTATGACCCTTCCAAAATCCAAAGGTGATCCATGTTTATATGCAATAGCTCATTAAACAAAACACACTACAACAACTCAAAAAAGTAGGTACTATTTATTAACTGCTTATAAAGATGGCTTTTTTTTTTGTTTTGGTACCAGGAATCGAACTCAGGACCTTGTGCTTACCAGGCAGGCGTTGTAAAGATGGCATACTATCATACTTGTTCCTACCACAGTCCTGAGATATATTAAGTGCTTAGTAAATGCTAAATATACATCTGATAAAAATTTCCCCTTCATCCAATATAGTTACATGAACCATATTTACCTTTCTGCTTAGTACAGCACACTTTCCAAGAGAAAAAATAAAACAAAAATGCATTAAAAGAAATAGTTTTCAGGACACAGAACATCAAAAGATAATGATTCTAAAGAGGGTGGGGCTGGGGATTTAGCTCAGCGGCACAGCACCTGCATGGCAAGTGTGAGGTCCTGAGTTTGCTTCCTGGTACTGGAAAAAAACCAAAAAAATAAAAATAAAAAAAATAAAGAGGGTAAAAAAATGTGCCTTAGAATGCCTCAATTTACTACTGTTTTGAGATAATTTACAGACACTAGCACAGAAAAGGAATACAGAACTGAGAGTTCAAGGAGATTAAGTCAGCTAAACTTCAACTGCCAGAGAGAACAGAACTACAAAGAGACAATCTAAAAATTTACATCACTCTAGCTTATGTTAGAGAAGAATATTTCAAATCAATAATCTGATTATTATTCATTTAAAGAAACTTAAAAAAAGAGCAAAACTAAACCTAAAGTAATAAATATGAGGGGCTGGGGATTTAGCTCAGCAGCAAAGCGCCTGCCTGGCAAGCGCAAGGTCGTGAGTTCGGTTCCCGGTACTGGAGAAAAACCAAAAAAAAAAAAAAAAAAAAAACAAACAAAAAAATAAATATGAAATCAGAAATCAATGAAAGAAAAAATAGAAAATAGAGAAAATAGTAAAATCAAAAGCAGGTTCTTTAAGATCATTAAAATGGATAAACTTCTACCCAGATAGATCAGTTAAGAGGAATAAGTAATTAATATTAGTAAAAAGGGAGGAGATAGCACTACCGATAACAATGACTAAGAAGGGATATTAAGAACAATTTTATGCCATTAAATTCTACAACCTAAATGCACAAAATCCTTGAAAAAAATTAGCAGAGATCAATCAAAACATTTGAACAAAGCTCTTAATTTATTACAGAAATGGAAACTGTAGTTTTAAAACCTCCCATAAATAAATTCCAGCCTTAGATGGCTTTACTGGTGAATTCTAACTTAATATTTAAGGAAGAAATAATACAGCTGTACATAAACTGTCATACCATAGCAAATGGCATACTTTAAAGACATCTCATTTACTGTATGTGAATTATTTCTCAAAGTTGCTTCAAAAATATTCATTTGATAAAAAAAGTGCAGGAGAACAGACAGACCAGCCAGAGCCCAAAGAGAAGAAGTTAGAAAAGCGAAAAAAAAAAAAAAAGAAAGAAAGAAAAGAAAAAAAGAGATAAATAAAATAAAATCAAAGAAAGCTGACAGGAAGAAAGAAATTGGTTAAGTGAGAGCAATAAATAAGATGAATCCAAGATGGAAAAAAACACAGGTAACTAGAAATAGCACTGAAATACTGAACACACACTAGAAAAGCCCTGGAACTATTGGGATACTTATTTGTTCCCGGAGTTCCTAATCCCTTGTCAAATGATTATATAAGAATATACTCCATTGTGGGGCTGGGGATTTAGCTCAGCGGCAAAAGCGCCTGCCTGGCAAGCGCAAGGTCGTGAGTTCGGTTCCTGGTACCGGAGAAAAACCCCCCCAAAAAAAAAAAAAAAAAGAATATACTCCATTGTTTATTTGGTTAAATTAGAGCATCAGGTACACAACACAAAGCTGATGGATTGGTTTGGGTGTTACTGTCTTCACAAAGTAAATAAGCTATAGCCCATTTCTTCTACACTTAGAATTTATAAAGAACTACTAAAAAAGTGTACAAATATACAAACAGAAAGCACAAATATACTTCAACAATAAAGTTTAGTTTCCTGAATTACCTATGAAGAATTTCTCAAATATTTTCTAGTTTTTAATAAGTAAAGCTACAATTAATCTTGCTAAAAAAGGTACATCTGGGAGAAAGAATCACAAAACCAATTATAATAAAATAAAATTCTTCTATAAATAAAACACTCGATACTGAAAAATTCAATATAAAAATTAAGAAAAAGATTGGATTTTATACACATAGATCTATGAAAAACTTACCTATAAAGTCTCATTTCACTCAGCTTTATTGTTATCAGATCAATAACAGGGGGAGGATTGCTCTGGCTCTCTGTCACCATAATAAATTTATTGGTCATTGTAATCAGCCCAAAATCAGCTACAAAAATATTTGCTGAATCTGGAGACTGCGGGATGACCACCACTGGGGCTTTGATCTTAACATCCAGTGCTAATCTTGAACTCCTTTTTGCCAGTTCTTTTACACCAGTAGCAGCCATTCCTGCTGCCTGGACAGTTGCTTCAGCCAAGGCTTCTTTAGCTGCTTGAAAATTATCTATAAAAGCCTATAAAGATGATAGAATTATATTCTTAATGTTACCATTAACAAGCTTATTAAATATATAATGTATACAGTTTTACTTCCTGGCCTTTAAGCTTTGTGTTGAGAAGTCTGTTGCAATTTTAATGAGTTTTCCTTTTTAAGTGCTTTTCTCTAATAGCTTTTAAGATTCCGTTTTGGTGTTAAACTTCCAGGATTTTGACTGATGTGTTATACAAAGGTTCTTAGTAATTTTACTTCCATTTATTTATTTATTTATTTATCTTTGTCTTTCTGAGACAGCGTCTTGCTATGCAGTTCAGGTGGCCTTGAGCTCACTTTGTAGCCCAGGCTGGTCTTGAACTTGAAAGGATCCTCTTGCCTCAGGCTCCCAAGGGCTGGGATTACAGGCATGCGCCACCACACCTGCACCACACCCACGTAGTAATTTTACTTTCATAGGAAAAAACTGTACTTGATAAAACCAAGCTTTTTCCAGGATAATGATTATCTACATTAATTTTCTGCTGGTAAAAAAATGATAAATATGAAGATATTGATAAAACAAAAATCTAGTTCCTGGAACAAAGCAAAATAAGAACAGTGGAATGTTTCAGTGATTATTTCCCTTCTTATTGAACTTGCCCTAATAGCTAAATAATCTTATTTCCACGGAAAACCTCAGTACACAGACAGCCTATTTATGTTTATAAGACTTTTTAAAAAACTATAAAAGGCCTTTTTAAAGAGCTTTCAAATAAATTTTGTAATTTACAAATTTTAGATGCCGTATTTCAGTGACATAAAATGTAACTTTCTAGATTCATACTTAACTTTTATCTTCACAGGAAAAGTAACACTTTATTTTCAGTGATATTTAAGTCCAATATGAATGGAAACATAATGCAAATGAAAATGTTTCTTATTTGCTTGAGACTAAAGCAAATTTCAATTATGTTTGGTAGTTTTAAATTAGACATCTAAGTTAGGCAACACAAGGATTTAAACCAATGGTATATAAAAGAGTTCAATTAATATTTATCATATGTAATACATGTATTACTATTAATATACATAACACATTTCAATTAACTAGAATATCTTCATGTAAAAATGATGCTATATAAATACAATACTAAATGTTTTTGTTATATAAATAAAGTACTAAAGATTTTGGTATGATAAAAGATATTCAGAAAATTATTAAAAAATTAAATAAAAAACAAAATCAAGCAAAAAAATCCATGTTATTTTTCTGCTTGAACATACAGCAACTTCTAACTAGCATAAAAGAATTAAAAATAAAGTATTAAAATACTTACCAATATAGAATATAGAAATTTTGTGACAAAAACTACTTCAATACAACCAACAGTTAAATTAACCTGAAGGTCTACCACGTTCATATCTGTGTATGCAGAGCCAGCAGTTGCATCCATGTAAGAAACCATTTTGAAACTGAAAACTTCTTTGCCAGTGATATAAACAGCCTTAATAAGAAAAAATTTCAATTATTACAATCCATCTTTGTAGTGTGCTGTCACGACGAAAATAAAGTAGTAATAAAATACACACATATTTGGAATATCTTCCAAACCATTCAAGTCAGTACAAAGGAGGACAAATAAGGGAACAGGTCTACCTGCTTTATTAGAACCTACCCCATAAGTTCACTTATTTTTTTCCAATTATTAGTGATGCTATTATATAGCATCAAAGATGATGCTATATAAATACAATACTAAATGTTTTTGTTATATAAAGTACTAAAGATTTTGGTATGATAAAAGACATTCAGAAAATTATTAAAAAATTAAATAAAAAACAAAATCAAGCAAAAAAATCCACGTTATTTTTCTGCTTGAACATACAGCAACTTCTAACTAGCATAAAAGATTATGCTTCAAGAAATTAACTTAGGAGGTTTGGCATAGCATTTTTTAAATGGAGAACAAAAAAAATAGAATTTTTTACATTTGAAATTTATACTTTGTACTGAGAATCATGACATAAACATATTTCTTCACTCACTTTCAAAACTTTGAAAAACATCTACAATTTACTGAAATCTGCTTCTTTTAATCTGAGGTATATGAAAAGATTTTCCACATTCTTCAAAGGGATCTCCTACTCATTTCTATACTTCTTGCTGCTTATTAGTGTGTGATGTCATCTTAATCACCAATCAGAAATGATCTACAATGACTTAAAATTTCAAGCTCTGTAGATGCAAAAAAAAAAAAAAAACACTGACAAAAAAACCAACATTCACTCAAAATAAAAACCTTGCTGAAAATAAGTATAGAAGAACCTTATCTCAAACTGGTAAAAGCCGTTTACGCTAAACTACTGCCAATATCAAATAAGTGGGGAAAAACTGAAAGTTTACCCACTAAAATCCAAAAAGAATGTCTACCAACACCATTCTTCAATACAGTACTTTGAAACTTCAGTCAGAGCAATCAGGAAGAAAAAGACATAAAAGGGATAAATATAAAAAGGAAGAAATCAAATTACTGTCATTTGCAGATGCCATGCTCCTTTACACAAAAGGCTTCAAATTTCCACCAAAGGACTTCTAGCATTAACCAAATTTAGCAATGTAGCAGGACAAGAATCAATAGCATTCCTGTATATCAATAATGAATTCACTGGGGAAATAAGCTAGGAAAACAATACCATTCTCAATAGCATCAAGGATTAATAAATACAAAGGAATTAACCTAACCAAGGAAGTGAAAGCTATCTACAATGAAAACTACAAAATTCTGGAAAAGGACACTGAATAGGGACATCAGAAAATGGAAAGACAGTGGCCAGGGTTATAGCTCAGTGGCATAAGCTGCCTGCCTGGCAAGCACAAGATCCTGAGTTTGATCCCTGGTACCAAAAAAAAAAAAAACAAGAAAAAAAAAAAAAAAAAGAACAGAAAATGGAAAGATACGCTGTTTCTGGATTGGCAGAATCAATACTGTCAAACGCCATAATTTTAAAACTGATATACACATTTAATGCAATCTCAATCAAAATGCCAATAACATTCCTCACAGAACTAGATAAAATAATACTAAAATTCCTATAGAGTAAGAAGAGACCCAGAATAGCAGAAGCAACCCTGAGCAATAAGAGCAAAGCAGGAAAAATCATAATCCCAGGTTTCAAGTTAGTTACAAAGCTACAGCGATTAAAAACAGTGGGACACTGGCACAAAAACAGGCCATTACCTGAATCAATAGAGCAGAATAAAGGGTGCAGAAATAATCCCAAGCACATTCAGCCATTTCAGGCCCCTTTGACAGAGGGGCCAAAAACCTATGCTGGTGGAAAGTTAGCCTCTTTAACAAATATTGCTTGGAAAACTGGCCATTTACCTGCAGGAGATTGAATCTAGGCCCGTATCTCTCAACATGTACTAAAAACTAAAATCAAACTGTATCAAATACTTAAATATTACATCAAAACATTAAACTTGATGGAAGATAAAAATAGGTAAAACTCAAGTTACAGGCGTACACAAGAACTCTCTAAACAGAACCCCAATTGCTCAAGAAACAATCTCAAGAACCAACAAATGGGATTGTGAAGACGAAGAAGAAAAAAAAAAAAACCTGAAAAGCTTCTGCACAGCAAAGGAGACACCAGCAGAGTGGAGAGATGTCCTACAGAATGGTAAAAAAGTTCTGCTGGCTACTCCTCAGAAACAGGACTAATGTCGAGAATACATGAAGTACTCAAAAAAATTAGACCCCTCCCATCAAAAAATGGGCCACTGAAATGAATAGATACTTCTTAGAAAATGTACAAATGGCCAATAAACACAGAAATGTTCATCATCTCTGGCCATTAGATAAATACAACTTAAAATGACAGTGCAAATCCATCTTACTCCAGAAAAATGGCTATCACCAAGAAATCAAATAATAAATGTTGGAGAGGCTGAAAGGAAAAAGGAATCCTTCCACATTGCTGGGGGAAAGTAAACTAGTGAAATCACTATGAAAATCAGTATGGAGATTTCTAAAAAAACTAAAACTAGAAATTAATTTGACTTAGCTATTCTCCTTCTAGGTACATCTTTCTGAAAGAGTTAAAGACACTGTATTATATGCATATATAGCAGTACAACTCATAATAGCTAAATCTTGGAAGTGGCCTGTATGTCCATCAACAGCTGAATAGATAAAGAAAAATTTAGCTTTTATACACAATGGAGTAATGCTCTGCCATACAGAGGGAAAATTTTGAGTCTGTTATAGGAAAATGAATGTATCAAAAGATGATAATGTTAAGTGAAATAAATCATACACATAAACTTAACTATCACATGAGAAATCCAAGGTATAAATGAATTAAAGAGCAAAATTTTGAGAGGGGGATCAAGAGATAAAGGGAGGGGGTAAGGGAAGAGAAAACTGGAATAAAAAGAACTAAGATGTGTTATATACATGTACCAGTTCCCAGTGATGAAGGTAATCATTAGGTGCTAACCATTATGTGCCATGAACATGTATACTAAACAAAATTTAAATTAAAAAGAAAGCACAGTAAGTCTGGCCCTTCCCCTTTTACCTGTAAATGCACCCAGGCCATTCTTTTACCTGTAAGTAGGCCTTTTTTACTTGTAAAGAATATCTCTTTTCATTCTCTACGGATGGCCACACCTCTATCACCTGTGATGAATGGGCCATCACCCTTCTTCAGAAAGAGCTGTAGTTTTTAATTTGTAAATTAAATCCCTTTTCTATAAATTCCTAAATTCTACAAGTTTCTGCCCCTAAACAGCCATAAATATACTCAGCTTGAGGCAGTCTTTCTCTTGAAGGCTACTATTCTATTTCTGTTAGTGTGTACTTTAAAAATTTTGTCTAGTAAATCCCATTATGCCTCTTTTTTATGTCTCCTGAAAATTATTCTTCTCTGATGGAAGTCAATAAACCTGCAACCTGTCCTGTGGGTGGGAACCCTGGTTCCCCATTTCTGCTTTGGGATCTCAGGGTGTTGAAAGTTACCTAAAGGTACTGGAAGTTACCCATGTATGTGGGTATATGTACGTGTCAAAACTCAACTCTGCACTAATAGTGTCTTACTATAGGTAAAGTATAGCTCAGTAAAGGTGACCTTCATTGTGCCCTGGGATGTAACTCTCAACTGACAGAAAACACAAGATATAAACGAACATCCTAAATCTAGGCTTTGAACACAATCAGCAAAATCTAGGCTTTGAAAAGAAAAGTCTACAAAATATGACAGTAACAAATGTATGCAAAAGAGAAAGTGCAGGAGACTGACTGAAGGACACTGACAGAATAAAACAGATTTAAGTGGCATATCAGTGAAATGTGCTTTGTGGATCCTCATCCAAACAAATTTAAAAGAATTATGAAAGCCAAGTGTGGTAGCGCACACCTGTAATCCCAGTACTAAGCAGGCTGAGAGAGGAGAATCACCACTGAGTTTGAAGACAGCCTGGGCTACATAGAGAGTTCAAGGACAGCATGAACTACACAGGCTGTTTCAAAACAAAGAGAGAGAAAAAAAATTATGAGACAGTGAAGGAAATGGAAACATTCACTAGATATATGATGACATTAATTCCTTGCTTTTAAAAGATGAAATACCAGTGAGATTTTTTTTTATAAACCTAGTAAGATGATTCTAAAACTTGTATGTAAACACAAAGGTCTGACACAGATAAGGCATTATTGAGAAAGAGAAACAAGATGGAAGAGAATTATTTTAAAAAATGAAAAAAAAAAAAAGACCTGTTTAATGATAAAGATAGTATGGAACTGAGAGGCAGCAGAAAATGGTGCAGAACATGAACCGAAGAGCCAGAAGGCCTGGTCCTCACATCTAGGCGTCAGGTGATGCCCGCCAAGCTGAGTTGTGTCAAATGGTAAGCTTGTATGGCTTCAGTTTCTTTGTCTCTAAAACTAAAAAATGAAATCTGAATAGGGCCTATGATGATAAAATAAATGCTACTACAGGAAATGGCAGTAAAAAATAGGAAAAAATGAAATTGTACTACAGCATCAACCATCTGCAAAAAATATCTTCACTGGTGAGTTACACAAACATTTAAGGAAGAAATAATACACATTTTAAAATAATTTTTCCAGAAAAGAAGAGAAAGCACTTCTTAACTCATCTTACAAAGTCAGTATTAGCTTGACAACAAAGACAAAAAACAGAGTTAAAAACATTTGTATAATTATTCAGAATTAAACAGCATTAAAAACTGGATTTTTAAAAAACCTTTTAAAACCTTCATTTTCAAGATACTTTTCTGTAAGTATGACACAAGAAACTAAACCTAAATTCATACACGGGATGATGGTGTATATCATGACAAATGAATATGAAGTTCACATGCAGGGTAAAAAGCTTACACCTCTCTGGTTCCTTGACAAGTAGAGAGTTACTGAAAAAGGTTGTTCATTGAAAAATCATGTAAATTGGAATTAAAGACAAGAAGAGTAGGAAAGGAAATCGCAATGAGAACAGACAGGAGAAAGGGACTTCAGTGTACCATTTTGCAAACAATTTTTAATCTTGTATTCATATGAAAAATAAAATTACTGAGAAAAAATTAATGATTTGGGTTATATTATGAACCTGTAAGTACCGAATTACTTTTAGTAGATACTTTTAGTTCTGTGAGCTTTATTTTCTACATGGGGAAAATAGATTTTGTAATTTACTTCCTAAATGCTCTATACACTATGCTTTTTAAAGTAAAAATAAAAGAATAAAATCAAACAATGGCTTGTGGAAAACTTCTTGTTGTTTATTCTTGAGTCATGACTTTTTGATCTTTTGGGATGCTTATCTCATGCTAAATAACCCATAATAACAAAATAGAAGGTCTTTTACTTTTTAAATAAAAATCAGTTATCACAATACCATCAAGATTACTGGCTAAATCCACTTATGTGTTCCCTTTTTTGCCAAAGTCCAAATGCTGATATCCTGACTCAGTGAGTACTTTAGGTTTTCCGAATATAAATACTTGATATTTATTCTCTTTTCTCCTTTCAAGGTAACACTCTACTCATATCTCATTATTCAAGAGTTACCTGTCCAACTCTCCAAGAGTTTCTAGTCCAAGAAACGTTACAGTTTTATACCTAGTAATAAAATACTTATCCTTCAACCACTAATTATCCAGCTCAAAGACTCTCTTAACACAATAACAGCTGTATTAGTGTCTGCAAAAATAAACTTGTAAATAAATCTTGGGCCTTCTAATGTTGGTTATCTGAAATGTATTATGAGGTTCAATGCATCTCAAGAAAATAAAAAGAAAAAATATTTTTAAAGGTATTTACTAGCCTCCCCTTGAAACGTTTTGTTCTAGGAGTAGTATGAGATACAATAACACTGACTTTACAAATACAGAAATGGAATATATATATTATCTAATTTGCTGAGAGTCATACAACTATTAGGGAGCAAAGCTAAGAGAAACAAACAACTATGCCTGACTCTAAAACCTATGAACCAGGCATGAATACCTAAATTTTTCATGTGCTGTTATAATGTCTCTTTTCAAATAATACTTCTTTGTCCCTTTCTTAAGAGCTTCCTTTTTTAGACAAATACCCTATTTCTGTACTGATCACAGAAATGCTCTTTGTAAGGGTAATTCCCTTCTACTTTAAAAAGACAACACAAAAATTATCAAGTCTGAAAACCATCTTAAAACATTTAAAACCACCTCTAAAACATGTATTTGTTTCCTTTTACCTCATTTGAGAAAATAAAAGATAAATGATGCTGAAAGTGTCACGGTAAAAAAAAACCTTAAAATTTTAGCTAAGAAGTGATGGCGATGAAATTACTGAAGCTTATCAATTCAGCTTTAAGTAGTTATCCTCTTACAGCAAAGCTCAAAAACTCATTCTGATTAATTGGAGAGTATCTTACTAAGGAAAAGAAATGTCTTCCCATGTATTCATTAAAAAGCAGATAAATTGGGTTTGGTGGTACATGCCTATAACCCCAGCCGAAGGGGAGGATGTGGGATGAGGAGGATCACTGCAAGTTCAAGGCTAGCCTGGGCTACATACTGAGTTCAAAATTAGCCTGAACTACATAGTAAGACCCTGTCTCAAGCCATCCCCACCCTCAAGAAAGCAGACAATCTAAAAGACAATTGTACTGTGCTGACAGTTGGGGAGAAGACACTAACTGGTTGTGGGGTCCCAAAGCAATGGGAAGCTGGAGAGTAAAAGACAATTGTAAATCTATCAAGGTAGAAATTATAACACTAGGGAGAGTCTGCAATGAGTAGCAGTGTTAAAAGGCAAATCTAAATCTAAGATGATGGTTTGTCTTGGCTTTTAGAAAAAGGGAGTCAAAGATGTGATTAATCATTATGTTGTCTTTATCTCTGTTAAGAACAACTTTCCGACAGGTGGGCAACAAGTATCAGTTTATCTTTTTGTACAACAGTCTTAAACACCAGGGTAAAGCGGTCATGCACTTACTATTAATTTTCTACTGATAAGGTACTGTGCTAGGTACTGTTTTCCTACCAAAAACAGATAGCTATTTCTTCCACCACCACAAACGAAGACGTTTCATGTAGTTAGCCTCTTTTCCCCATCAGCATTCCTAGAGCCATAGATCTCCCATCAGGGTACTGCATTTGGAGGGCAAGACGGACTGAGCTCCAAGAACTAGCCAGTTCTCCAGCATTCTTCAGAGACAAGTTCAAGATACAATTATCAGAGGTTGGAGGTCTGTGAATCATTTTTTTAAAAGGCCTCTAGTGGCAAAGGAAGGCTGCACCTACATATGAGGTTGAACGGGTTGTTCTACTTTAAAAAGAAGTACTTTTAAAATAAGCAAGTAGGGGCTGGGGATTTAGCTCAGAGGCAAAGTGCCTGCCTGGCAAGCGCAAGGTCATGAGTTCAGTTCCTGGTACCGGAGAAAAACAAAAAACAAAAAAACAAAACAAAATAAAATAAGCAAGTAACAACTAATTTATGTTTATTTTATTTTATTTTGGGGGGGTACTGGGAAACAAATTCAGGACCTCGCGCTTGTCAGGCAGGCACTGTGCTGCTGAGTTATATCCCCAGCCCCTTAACAACTAATTTATTAACTATCAGAACTGATGGAACTTTAAAAATTTTTCAATGGTAGCACATTTTTTAAAAATGAGAAATCCAAAGTGTAAAGAAGGACCAAAATGTATATATAACAGATATTGTGAAAGAATAGAAGCAAGAAAATGTTCAAATGGGAAGGGGAACTAGGAAGCAGGGAAAGGAAAGGAACGGTAAAGAAAAACACGAGAAAAGAAAAAAAATGGAAACAAAGTTTTTGTAAATAAGAAGGGAAACAGGATTGAAGGGAGGGGAGGGGAATGGAAAAAAAGAATCACGATACATCATGCACAGGTACAACTTCTCTATGATAAATGTGATCATTGTGACTACCTAAAATGTACCAATAAATTTAATAAAAAAAAATACACTTTCTTAAAAAAATAAAATAAAATGTATTAAAGTAATATACCACAGCAGTAGGATTATCTACTATGGGTGAGCATCCCATTCCAGGTACTATGATTTTACTATTTACTAAAAAAAAGCTGAAAAGTTAAAAATACTAAATATGAGAAAAAACTTAAAAATAAGCATCACTGTATAGAAAATGATCCACGTAAAATACAAATATTTATTAAATATTCCAGAGATCTGGGTTTTATTTGGTGCTTGGATTAAATTTTAAAATGGTGAGATTTGCATAGGCCTCTTAAAAAGCACAGTAAACAAGGCCAACTGGTGGCAAAGAAAAGCAAATAAAGCTTGTGTACACATTTGCTGGTAACAACTACAAGAAATGTGCTTCATAGATTAAGATTTACTGAAGTGGAAATATGTAGTGATTATATAATGTAGTATTTTAAATTACATAAGAAAATGTAGGGATTTCTGTTTGACTTTTTTTCTCCTTGTGGCTGAGATGAATCAAGCCAATGATAAATAAAGCTACAGCCTCTTCTGTTCTAAGGTAAAATGAAAAAATAAAACCATGTATAAAATAAGCCATGGTGCTAAAACATGATAACCATCTAATGAACTGTAAGTAGCACCACTTGTAAAGGACAATCATAATTAAAGATGTATTACTTAACAATAAAAACAAATTCTTAATAAAAAAATTTGCATTGTACATGTTTGCAGGACATGATTATATTCATTTTTTTGGTTTTGTTTTGTTTTGTTTTTCTCTGGTACCGGCAATCGAACTCACGACCTTGCGCTTGCCAGGTAGGCACTGTGCCGCTGAGCTAAATCCCCAGCCCCAACATGATTCATGGTGGGGACTTGATACATGTTCCTAACTCATCTTTTGAATCGCACTTCCCCCTCCCCTAAATTCTTACCTTTTTATATACAGCCATTGTATCTGAATCCAAAACAGTTATATTCCTTAGCTTTGCATTTATTAAAATTACTGAAGGCCTCATAATCATCTCAGAATCAAGCCCTAAAGGAACAAAAGTATAAATAATTGCTTTTTCTTTTATTTAATAGTTTTAAATTTATTTTTTAATGACTTTGTTACCTTCGATCTTAATTTCAGAAATATTACGTTTCTGTTCTTGAATAAAAATCTGTAAACATGATAATTCTGCTAAAATCTGCAAGGTAATAATATCTTCATTCATGGATTGCTTGAAAGCTACAAAAAAATCATATTGTAAAAGATTACGGAAAGTTTGTAGAAGCTACTACACTATACTTACAAATTAACAGAAACATCACCACAAATGATATTATTTGATTATCATGATGATGATAATGAAAATCTGGTTTGCAATTCAAACGATATTCCCTACTAAACTAGAACTTCTACCCCTAGTGAAAACAAAAATGAAAGGGCAAAACAAAACAGTTTTCCGAGAGAAGAATGAACATTTGAAACTAAGAATAACAGCTGTATAATCCTAAATGTTTTATGATCCAATGATTAATAGGAGATACTGTACTTTTCGTAAAAATTATAAATGGTGATTGCTTTTAAGAAGTAATAGATTGATCATCCAAATATCCAAAATCTGAAATGCTCCAAAATCCACCATTTTAGTATAAACATGACACTCAAAAATTTTGATTTTAGAACATTTCAAATTTCAAGTTTTTGATGATGTTCAACCTGTTCTGATTAAAAATATATTCTGATATTACTCAAATTTTGTTGTACTTTTCTAATGTAAATATTAATAAATGTATGAATTTTTATTGTATCTATTTATTTTAGTTTTTTTGAGACAGGGTTTCACTATGCAGTTGAAGCTGGCCTTGAGCTCACTTTGTAGCCCAGGCTGGCCTCGAACTCACAGTGATCCTCCTGCATCAGCCTCCTGAGTGCTGGGACTACAGGCATGCACCACCACACCTGGCAAAGTTTTTTATTTTATGTTACTTTATGTGAAGTTATGTGATGTGAAGTTATGTTATATTTATTTACTGATTGATTGATTGACTGGTTGGGTACTGGGAATTGAACTCAGGACCTTACGCTTGCCACCACGCCTGGCGAAGTTTTTTATTTTACGTTATTTTATGTGAAGTTATGTTATTTTTTATTGATTGATTGATTGACTGATTGATTGGGCACCAGGAATTCAACTCAGGACCTTACACTTGCCAGGCAGGCACTTATACCACTGAGCTATATCCCCAGCCCAAATTTTTTTATTTTAAAGAGAATAAAGAAACAATAAAAATACAGAATTTCAAAATAAGACAGGAAATTAATGGTTATTAAACTGCATATTGTTATCTTCAAAGTAATTGCTCAGAGGCATGCAAAATTGATCAAACCATGTAAGCACTTTTTTTAAATGAACTAATAGAAATTAGTAGCACAATTATCTTAGCTGTCTTGTATATGTGTGTGTGTATATATATATTTTTGTCTTCTCCCCTTTTTTCCCCCATCCCAGTTGTTCTTTCCATTTGAACAGTTTCTTTCCCTTTCAAAATATCTATTGTACCTTTTCAATTTTATTTACACTTTCTGTTTCTTACACCAGGAAGACAATGTAATGCTTACACATGCAAGTCTGTCTTATTTCACTTATGAGGATGGTCTCTAGTTGCATCCATTTACCTATAAAAGCCTCAAGTTTATCTTTCTTTATAGCTGAGTAATATGCCTTTGTATAAAAATATCACATCTTTTTCTTCCATTCCTCGTTTGATGGGCATTTGGGCTGTTTCCAAGACTTAGCTATGTATGAATTTTAATCTCAGTCAAATATTTCTGTATCGTCTTCAACTAAAACCAATTATAACAGAAAATTTTTCTTCAGCAGTATTCAGTTCCGGAATATAATGAATTGTCTAGGTATTAGTTTTTCTTTTAAGACAAAAAATGTTAATGTATAGTTGTTTTCTCTAAACTAAAACTTCAGTATTCAGGTTTAACTGCAGTGTTCATACACTGCAATAAATAAGCAGGTTTTAGGTTTCAGTTTGGCACTCCATCTCTAAAAGGATCGCCATCACTGATCTAGGCAATAGAATTCTAGGGTCAATAGAGTAAGTTAATAAATTCAGAGCCTAAATTACTGATCTACTTGGCAAAAAAAGTTGAACATGAATTTTTGAAAAATATACCTAATTTTTTAATGACTTCTCCTTTGTCTTCAGTCTCCACAATAGGCACTGATGCTGATTTTTCCACAGAGGGTGGAAGGATTTTATTAAGATAATTTATTGTATTTAGAAGTGCTTCCGTATGTAAATGAATATCCAAAGAGGAAAAATTCACCTAGGGAACAAAGTAGATGTTAGTTAACAGGTTAATAAAAATGTGTGTATCTGGTCTCTATAAGATACTACATTTTGGCTGGGCATGGTGGTGCACGCATGTAATTTCAGCACCCAGGAGGCTGAGGCAAGAGGATCTCTGTGAGTTCAAAGCCAGCCTGGGTTACAAAGTGAGTTCAAGGACAGCCTGAACTGCATAGCGAAACCCTGTCTCAAAAAGATAAAACATACAAACAAAAAAGATACCATATTTTTCAATATGGTCACAATTTAGTTCTAAAACATCCCCCCAAATTCTCACATGTCCTGACATGGGGCTTTCACGTGGTTTCTGGATCACGGAGGCACTATTCTCATCAGCAGATGAATCCACTGAGGAGTTCATAGCTGAATGTGCTATTTGGAGGTGGAGCCTGGTTCAAAGAAGCAGCTCACTACAGGTTTGACCTTAAAAAGGTATATTCTTGCTCTCAGCTCCTCCCTTCTTTCTCCCTGCTTCCTGGGTGCCTGCAGTGTGCGAAGCTCCTCTGGGCCCACTGGGGAGTAATCATCTAAAATTGTGGGCAAAATAAAACTCTTTTAGCAGATGCCAGGCATTTATCCCAGTCACAGAAAAGTGACTAACACAAGGATAAAGTATTTGCATTGGACTAAGGATATAGTTCAGTAGTAGAGTAACTGCCTAGCATATAAACTTCAGGATTCAATCCCCAGCAAAACACAGAATCAAATTTAAGACAGAATATCATTTGTAATACTGTTTTTATCCTCAAGGATCTTATATTCCAACTACATCTTTCATGGCAGACATAAAAATACAGTATTGAATTAAAACATGAATTAACATCCACTCATACCTTGATCAGCTGTAAAACATTGCCATAGGTACTTTTCAAGTTAGGTGCATTTTTTTCAGCCTATCCAAAAAAAAAAACCCCAAAAAACCAAGATGAATCTATTAGAATATCATAGAAGATGCATGCATATACCATCATATGATAGTCCTAAAATGCATTATATAATATTCCAGGGGTGTACATACTATGTATATACAAGATAACTGTATTATATACATTAAGTATATATATTAGTTTTACACATACACATTACACACTATATATACAGAAATACACCCATAGTTGCTTTAACAAGCAACTACTTCACTAAAACAAAGCAACTGCTTTACGAAAACAAAAGAAATTTGGTTAAATATGAGCTTCTCTAACACACAGAAAATATTTAGTAAATGTTACATACTAACATTGCTATTAAAAAGAGAAGAAATGGTAGAAAGTAACAAGCATAGAAAACAACCACTTGACCACCAAGAACTCTGTATGAATTCTTCCTAATTCTTCCTGACTTTGAAAACAAAATTTCTGACAGAATTGTCAGTGAAGTATCCAAATACTGCTTTTCTTTCTCAAAAATTTATTACATTGTTTTTCACTGATAAACTATACTGCATATCTTTATGGAACAGCATGTGTTATTTCGATGTAGGTATATAATACGAATGATTATACCATGCTAACATCATCGCACCTGTCATTTTCTGTAGTGAGATATTTAAAATGTACCTTTATTTTGAAATACATATTATTAAGTATAGTCATTTTGTTGTGGAATAGATCTCAAAACGTATTCCTCCAGTACATCTAATACATACTGCTCTTTATCCTTCCCTTCCTCCCACCCTCAACTGCTGGTAGCTATCATTCTCCTCTCTACTTCTACGAGTTTAACTTTATTGATTCCACATACAAGTGAGATTTGTGCAATAATTGTCTTTCTGTGCTTGGATTATTTCACTTAGCACAATATCCTCTGGATTCATCTATGTTGTTGCAAATGAAAAGATTTCATCCTGTTTCAGTAATATTCTTTTGTATGATACTTTCTTTATTCACTTATTTCTTTAGATGTAGAACACTTTTGTAATTGAAAACCTAGTACAAACATAACAAAAATTCTAAAGTATCTCAACAATGGATAGCAAAAATGGTCTAAAAGTGAAAAATAATCTTTTGGGGTTATTCTGATGGTAAAGTGACTAACATGATGTGACACATAAAAATGATGTCCACAAAAAAAATATCATGGACCACTGTACATGAAAAACTTCACAGATCAGAAAATGACATAAATCAGTACAAATGGAATAGAATCACTAAAACTAGGAAAAATCAGGTAACTTCAGACAATAGCAGAAAACAGGGTGAAATCCACATCCTGCATAACAATAAATTCCACCAAAAAGCTTTTGTTCGCAATACCCTGGAGTACGGTATGTGTATATGTGTGTTAGGGGGTGAGGGGTTAAACTGCAAGTCTCTATATGGAACACAGGCTACTTATTTTGCTGTACTGGAGTACCTGTAAATCACAACTATTTGATAGAGAATGACCAGAGATAAACTGTTACAAGTTACTGAGATTATATGAGAATAAAGATTAGACAAAACTATTCCTAAAATTACAAAACTTGATTAAAAATTTCAGAAGCACGTTTACCTGTCAAGCTGATAAGAAGTGAACTGCTTACCTTCACATATTCCAACGTTAATAGATCTTCCATTGTATTATCCAGTGTTGTGACCAAATATACCGGTTTTTTATTTTCATCTAAAAATAATTTTTAAAATTTTTTAAAAAAATTTTTTTGGTAGGAAAACTAATTGAGAATAAATCTAGGCAGTGTTAGTATCAGTTCTGGGCCTTGAATTCTACCTTAACCAGTCAGGTCCTATCTTGAATTTTTAAACTCTAGAAATACATTCTCATCATAATTCCATTCCCTTCCCTTAAGCCTCCACGCTAAAGTACCACATCTTCATAACATAACAGAAGGGAAGATAAGAAAAACCAGAAACCATCAAAAGAAAATCTAGAGTAATTTTTAGGAATGAAACTGCATAAAAAATATTCTGTCCCTAGGTCACAGAACTAGCTAGGAAAAAACTATCAGTCTTGAAAATTCAGCTGTTGAGAAGACAAATCACAAATGTAATGAGTTTTTCTATGTATTAGTTTAGATTAAAATAATTCATCTAAGGCCATACCACCTTGAACATGCCTAATCTTGTCTGATAAAATAATTTATTACGCAATTAGTTTTTATTAGTTACATTACAGTTTCTGGTCAAAATCTGTTATTCTAGGGGGAGCATTGTAGAAGAACTTTTTATATAAAGCCTTTAAAACTGTCATCTTCAAATTATGTAGCTGCTAAACATTATTATCGAGAGACTGGAGAAAGAATTCATAACTAATACTATCATTCAGGGGAAAAGCCACAAATTCCACAAAGTCCTCCAAATTTAAAAGCTTATTAGCAGATAAACCACATTTCTACTCCAAGTGCTAACCATATTATCTGGTCTTAGGAAAATCCACACTGTGTTTACTTTTATTGATTCACTGAACCACTATTTGAGTATTTATTTTACACAATAAACTGTTCTATGTATTACTTTTCAGAAAATAGAAGCAAAATACAGAATGAGGTGAAATGATAACTGTATACTGTACAAATGCTTTTTATTTTTTTTATTTTTTATTTTTTTCCGGTACCGGGAATCAAACTCACGACCTTGCACTTGCCAGGCAGGCGCTATGCCACTGAGCTAAATCTCCAGTCCCTACAAGTGCTTTTTAATCCTTTGCGCTTTGGAAAACAAATATTAAGCATAAATGTAAAAAAAGAAAAACTTTTGGATCACTAGGGCATCTTGTCACGTTTATTTACTCTGAATTCCAAGTAGCAAAACAGTTCCTCAGTGTAAAAAGGATAACAAAATTCTCTATCAACTATACAAGATGGCCTTTCTCAGAGACAGGCATAACAAAATCTACTAAAAAGTTCTGAAGAGCTAAAGAAGAAGTGAAGACAATATAATTATATGCATAAATCATATACCCTGACCCATTTTCAGGATACACTATGTAATTTGGTCCTGGATTTTAAAAATGGGCCAAAGATTTGAATTGCTATATGACCAAAGATACACTAGGTGGCGAACAGCTATATAAAAATGGATCAAATTTATAACCCTGACAACACCACACCATCGCATGGATACGTACAGATCAACAGGGACTTTTTATTTATTGCCAGTAGAAATACAAACAACTGCTTGTTCTTTGAAAAGGGGGAAGCAACATCACCACAGCTGGCCTGCACTGCTCCAGACCTGCTCCTCCAGGAAGCAGCCATCTAGAGAGCATCCCAATAGCCTGAGGAGAGGAAGGAGCACAGCAAAGGCTGGACTCTTGGGTCAGACTGCATAAAACACCTCTGTCTTTCTCTCTAAACACTAGGCAACACTATAGCTTGGCAACATTCTTTCCAAAGCTCATCTCAGGAAAAGGAACTCCCTGCCCAGGCCACCCCCCATTCCCCAGGCAGAGAGAACATAAACAAATAAATAGATCCTGTGCACATGGATTCCGGTAGCCCCCACCTAACAAAGGACACTCCGGCTGAATTCCACAGATGCCTGCTATGTAAGAATATGCTCACCAAATCCTACAGATCCCTATTAGACCACAAAGAAGTCTGCTGACTCTACCATCATGCCATCATGCCTACAGGGTAAAAGCCCCTAAGCTAAACCTGAATTCTTGAGACTAGGTTAGTTCAGGTTTTGATCGCAAGGGAAAAGTGGGTCAACTGGTACAGCTACCAGCAACGAGACTACAACTAAGGCAAGAAAGGAACTGTGTGGACACTAAGCTTTTTCATATAGTGGTCATGTGGGAACTATAGGTACCTTCTCTTGGGGTATATGATCTGAGTTCCCACCAGTTTTAGAAAAAGGGCCTGACTTAGCACGTGTTTTTCTCCCTCTTCTTATCTTCCTAGTTTCTTCAACTCAAACTTCTATATCAATATTATTTTCTTTCCTTATCTGCTACTAGTTTCTACCACTTCAAAAATTCTTCAAGTTTTTTGTTCACTCTATTTTGCACTCACTCAGTCATGTCTACTTTCTTTGGTATTAACTTTCGGTTCTCTCTATTCTATTTCATTTGGTCTTCCTCATCCTACACTGTCTTCCCTTGCCTCTTCTCCATTCTACAGGTGGACAAATATAGCAACAGGTTTCTTCAATCGGCAAGTAGACCCCCCCTCCTACATCTTGACCTTGTTCTCACAAATATCTTAAGACTCTCAACACTAACCCTTCAATCCACCTAAAAATCCTCCAACAGAATCTAATTTTTTTCACCTGTTATTATTTCTCCTATTTACCTCTACTCCTACTGACTTAAGAGTCCTCTTGCACACATACCACCATCTCTTCCCTTCATTTCTCCTTTCACATCGCATACTAACAGCTAATACCAATAGAATACAGGTGGCAAAGAGTACTGGTAAAGAGTAAAAGTCTAAATGCAATGTTTATCACATAAAAACGATGCATTATTGGATCTACTTATGATGTTATAATCAACAGTAATTCTTTCCTCAAAACAGTGACAGGATCAAAACCACTTAAATAGCTGAAGGGGTAAATACTATTTGTGGATAAATATAACTCAAAAACATATCACTGGGAGTACTTTTTAAAAAATCTTCGTATCAACGAAAATCTCTCCTCACCCTACTTGACTTTAACTCTCAGCACCGAAAATACACACACTACACAAACATGTGAAAACAAGGCAACAAAAGGCCCCACAGTCTCTCAACTCTCCCAAAACAAATCCAAGTCTCAGTGAGACAAACAAACAATGGGTGGTGGAGCTTTATGAACTAATTATATCAGAGGTAAAGAAACTGGCAAGTTCAAAGAGGACAGGACCCAAAAGTTCAGGGAATTACCATACAAAATAACCAAAGTAAAAAACCAGAACAGCTGACCAAAATAGTTCAAAACATGTATGGCCAATTTACCAAAGATATAGATTTCAGAAAAATTTACTGAACAGAAATATTAGATATAAAAATTGCTTAGAATTCATGAACAGCAGAAATTACTGTGAAGACAAGGTTTCTGAAATCAAAGACAAAATGGCCTGTTACAACAAATTACTAAGAGAAGCCTTAAAAATGTGGAGAACAAGCAAAATTCATCCGGGCTGGGGATATAGCTCAGCGGCATAAGTGCCTGCCTGACAAGTGCAAGGTCCTGAGTTTGATTCCCAATTCCACAAAAAAAGAAAAGAAAAATTCATCCAGTAACTAATTCATCCAATGCTAAGAAGACCAACCTAAAGCTAATTAGACTTAGGAACTAGAAGGCAGCACACATGAAATAAAATCTTTGTATACAGAAATCATAATAGAAACTTTTCAAGTATAAGGGAAGATTTGAACATACAGATAAGCGAGGCTTACAGAACACCCACCATCTATGATGAAAACAGAAGCTTCTGTGACACGATTTACTCAATATTTGAGATATCCCAACAACAAAAAACAGCAGACCCTTAAAAGTTGTCAATGAAAAGCAAAAGCAAAAAAAAAAAATCACATATAAAGGCAAATCCAGTAAGATTATAGCAGACTTCTCAACATAAACTTTTTAATGGCAAGGAGACTCTGAAGTGAAGTATTTCAAATCCAAAAGCCAACATCTTTCAACCCAGGTTAAGATATCCAGCAAAACCTGCTTTCAATATACATGGAGAAATAATGACACTGCATGAAACAGGACAACTCAAGAGATTAACACCAAGCCAGCCCTCCAGAAAATACTCAAGAATATCCACAACAGAGATGACAAAGCCAAAAATTCAGAAATCCAGACGGAATGAATTTGTCAAACAAGGTGAATAAAGAAAAGAAAAAAGACAAAAAAGGAGTCATCAATAGAAAAAGGACTAGAGTCTCCTCAGAGGTGTCAGTGCAGCAAGGCGCGAGGGCAGAGCGCAGCATGGGGCCCAGCTGCAGGAAGCTCCCGGGTAGGCCGGGCCAGGCTGGGCGCCTGGGGAGCAGGAGGAGTAGCCCATGGACTATAAGGTGGACAGGGATGTGCAGGCGCTCAGCAGCTCCAAGGACGACTATGTGGCAGCACCTATGGGGAAGGCTGTGGGCGCCCAGCTGTGCGGGAAGACGCGGGCTGCGGGGGCTCAGAACGACGTGGGCGGCAAAGTACGGAACACGCTGGAAAAATCTGGAGCTGACATTAACAAGGCTCTCTTTGCCAAGAGAAAAAGACTAGAAACGTATACCAACACTTCTATCAAGTCCAATAGCCAGAAAATTGAACATGTTTGGAAAACACAACAAGAACAAAGGCAGAAACCTAACCACGAGTATTCTGAGCAGTTCCTGACTGTTTCAGCAGTAGGATACAGATCTGAAGAAACTAGACGAACAAGAAGAGAAACTGTGAGTAGATTGCGACAACAAAAGGCTTTTCAACAATCTAGAATTGTTCACAACCAGAGACTGAAAACAAGACATTTGTATGAGCAGTACATAAAGAGTTTGGAGGACCTGGAGAAGAATCACGATTATCTACTTAGTGGTACACAAAATGAACTTTAAAAAGAAATGACTATGTTGCAAAAGAAGATTATGATGGAAACTCAGCAGCAAGAGATGGCAAGTGTTCGCAAGTCTCTTCAGTCCATGTTACTCTGATGACTCTTTGGAGACAGAACTTGAACCTGAG